CAGCAATAAATGTATAATATCTTGGTTAATAATCCTAAGGGGGGAAAAATGACGCGGTAGGTTGTCGGACACAATTGGTAAGACATGAATCGGACATGGCCAGCTCAGGACAGGGTACAATGGTGAGGCTTTGTTAATAGGATAATAAAAGGTAAATTTTTTATACGATTACCCCTGTTTAGGAGTCAAGTTTAAGGGTTTATATTACCTGCAGATTAATAATGATTAAAGAAGAGATCACGATTCAACGATCCGAAACTTATCAGTTGTATAGATAGTTTTCTTGAACAATATTGTGTTCTTTTTCTTAATTACAGATAAATATTTAAAATTAACCCTCCTCATACTATACTCAACTTTGTTTTATATTAATTTCCTCAGAAATATCCTTGGCATGTTCATAAATAATAGCAAATAAGGGAATTTTACAGATTTTTCTATCTCATTCTTACAAGTTTAAAACATTTACCATACGATAGTTTGAGTTCTATAAGACGAGTGATTTCGTGACTACCTGAGCGAATATTAACTTCTCGACAAAGATTCTTTTCCATGGAGTTATATTGTAAGATACCAGAAGTATTAAGAACAAATTTCCGAATTAGGCCAAGAAATCTAAAACTTTTCGCTGAAGAGCTTTTACAGTACTCAATCTTCGCCTTTATCCTTTCTGGGTGATTTATGGAGGCATGTGAAATTAAACATTTACACAAAGACCTTGTAAAAAGACCACTAAGAAAGAGTGGACGTCAGTAATAAAGAAGATTTTTAGGAAAATGGATTTAGGAACTTTGTAGTCTATGCGGTTAACTTGGTATGATATGATTGTGAAATCTCGTATAACAAATTTTGTTAGGAGTATCTTTTGGAGAACAACAACTTAGAAAACCAAGAAAGAGTTGGTAGCAGCAGTATGTTATGAAAACATGCAAGGAATATGACAGTTGAATGTACCTCGATCAGAATCATGTTCAAAGACGGTCCTTCATATTAGCCGTGTTAAATATTCAAGTTATACTACCAGATTGAAAAGTAAATAAAATTGTATTTTGGTCCCAGTGTTGCACTCAAAGGAGGGTCTTGATTTCAATCTACGCACCACAAGGCACTTTTATGTGCACGTGTTCAAAACCTGATAAATGATTTAATAGAAATTTGACGTAAATAAAATACCAGAAACAAAAATGTGGAAATTATGGGTGATGATTTTAGTCATGTATTTAATAGCCTGAGATGAATGTCGCTGTTGCATATCAGGCCGTTCGCACACAAAAGGGACTATAACCTATCAGCATTTCTGAAAAACAAGTCACCGTTTCTGGGGCAAAACACGAATAATGTCTGTGCAAACTAAGTTCTTGGACGCTCATTTTTTCAGTTATGGCCCGCCAGATCACTTGACTTAAATCCGCTATATTTTCTTTATGGGATAATTTTAAAAGTACTTGCATTTATATTTTACGAACTGTAGCAATGCTATTTTTCGAAGTTTCTTACTAAGTATACGAGATGTGATCGGAAAGTTTCAAGACTGCGTCTATAAAAACCCGTACACTTATCTCAGGTATTAAATTCATCCATCACCCTCGAAGTAGTTCCCCTGGGAGTGAACACAACGATCCCAG